GTCAAGACGCACAGACGGATGTAATTGGGGGAGAATCCGGTCATTTTTCAAAATAAAACATCTTTCAGATTCTGATCATCAATAAAATATTTATTTATTTATTTTTCTGTGTGGCCCGGTAGCAAATGACCCACCGACCGGTACTAGTCCGCGGCCCGGTGGTTGGGGACCGCTGAGTTAAGTGACTCCTATTGCAATAATAGTATAATAAACCTTTTCCACAGGAGTCATTTTGATATGAGACAGGAGGGTAAACATAGGTGTTACCAATGACACTAATTAAGGTTCTGTTACATTCAGGTCAAACACAGTCAGGGTGCTGCTACTGTGCATCATGGCTCACTGGAAAGGCTCTGCTACACTAAATGAACCTTCATTAGTAAAGAAGCTCTCTCCTTTTCCCTCTCTCTCTCTGGTGGTATTTGAATGGACTCGTCTGTAAACTGGTTTATAAATCAATATTATTTAGAAATAAAAAACATGTGAAAAGACGTTCTTTATCAAGAACTAAACAATATAATCTTTACTCTAATACTGATGGCTTCAACGTTACATTGATATATAATGTTAATCACATCTGGACTTACTGAGCCTTTCTGCAGTTCCTCACAGCTGGAATCAGTCTCTGTCGTCCCTGGTCTGATGTGTTGTACTTCTTCAGGTTCAACTCATCCAGAACCTCCTCTGACATCTGCAGCATGTAGGCCAGAGCTGAGCAGTGGATCTCAGAGAGTTTCTTCTCTGATCTGTTCTCTGACTTCAGGAACTCTTGGATCTCCTGATGGACTGAGTGGTCGTTCATCTCCATCAGACAGTGGAAGATGTTGATGCTTCTGTCAGGAGAGATATCATCACTGTTCATCTCCTTCAGGTTGTTGATGGCTCTCTGGGTGATTTCTGGACTGTTGTCTGACTGACCCAGCAGGCCTCCTAAGACTCTCTGGTTGGACTTCAGAGAGAGGCCATGAAGGAAGCGAACAAACAGGTCCAGGTGGCCATTTTTACTTTTGAGGGATTTCTCTAAGGTATCTCTCAGGAAGGCATCCATAGATGTGTCATGAAGATCATCATGACAGTCAAGGCTATGATAATTTCCAAAAAACTGTAAAATCTCCTGGAAAAGAGTCTTTGGTTTTGTGTCCCTGGTGTAGTTTCTCCCCAGGAAGTCCTTCAGTACGTCTATGTTCCTGTTGATGTGACAGTGGAACATGTAGACTGCAGCCAGAAACTCCTGAATGCTCAGATGAACAAAGCAGTAGACTGTTTTCTGGAAGATCACACTCTCTCTTTTGAAGATCTCTGTACAAACTCCTGAGTACACCGAGGCCTCTGTGACATCAAGACCACACTGCTCCAGGTCTTCTTGGTAAAACATGATGTTTCCTTTCTCCAGCTGTTCAAACGCCAGCCTCCCCAGCTTCAGAAGAACTTCCCTGTCAACCTCCATCAGCTCCTGTGGACTCTTCTCATGTCCCTCATCATACTTCTGCTTCTTCCTCTTTGTCTGAACCAGCAGGAAGTGTGAGTACATGTCAGTCAGGGTCTTGGGCAGCTCTCCTCTCTGGTCTGTAGTCAACATGTGGTCCAGAACTGTAGCAGAGATCCAACAGAAGACTGGGATTAGACACATAATGTGGAGGCTCCTGGAGGTCTTGATGTGTGAGATGATTCTGCTGGACAGATCTTCATCACTGACTCTCCTCCTGAAGTACTCCTCCTTCTGGGCGTCAGTGAAGCCTCGTACTTCTGTTACCCTGTCGACACATTTAGGAGGGATCTGATTGGCTGCTGCAGGTCTGGAAGTTATCCAGACGAGAGCTGGGGGAAGCAGATTCCCCTTGATGAGGTTTGTCAACAGCACGTTGACTGAAGACTTCTGTGTGACGTCAGACACAACCTCATTGTTGTGGAAATCCAGTGAAAGTCTGCTTTCATCCAGGCCGTCAAAGATGAACAAAAGTTTACAGACAGCAAGCTGCTCTGCTGTGACCTTCTGTAATGTTGGATGGAAAACATGGAGCAGCGTGAGAAGACTGTACTGCTCATCTTTGATCAGGTTCAGCTCCCTGAACGAAAGCAGAACCACCAGACTGACATCTTGGTTTTCCAAGCCCTCTGCCCAGTCCAGAGTGAACTTCTGCACTGAGAAGGTTTTTCCAATGCCAGCGACGCCGTTCGTCAGAACCACTCTGATGTGTCTCTGTTGGTCAGGTGAGGCTTTTAAGATGTCGTGGCACTTGATTGGAGTGTCATGGAGGGTCTCCATCTTGGAAGCTGTCTCCAGCTGCCTCACCTCATGTTGGGTATTAACCTCTTCACTCTGTCCCTCTGTGATGTAGAGCTCAGTGTAGATCCTGTTGAGGAGGGTGCCACTTCCTGTTTCATCAGTTCCTTCAGTCACATGTTTACATCTCGTCTTCAGACTGATCTTATGATCTTCTAAAACCTCCTGCAGACCACCACTCACTAAAAAGAGAAACAGATTTGAGTCAAAACAAAGAAGATTTGACAATCTGATGATTATTTTCATTACCAATAAAAAGATCAATACACAAATATAAACAGAAGTAAACCTTATAAAGTCCACACAGTGCACGATATGAGGAATATCTGTGATGTGCAATAACACTGTTCAATATTGTGATGACGATATGACTTGCGATAAAAACAAACATTAAAGAGTTCATATTGGCTATGCAGTTCCTATGTCAGCCTGGTTTTCTCTTAATTAAGAACTGGATAAGAATGTAATATTTTAAATAAAACTACATGTTGTTTCTAGAGCAGAAACTGTAATGTTTACAACTGCAACGTCACTATAAGAACTCAATAATATCTCACTGTAAACAAATCTAAAATGTCAATAAAAAGAAATAATATTCCTGACATCAAAATACTGAATGAAGGTTAGAGTATCTGTCATTCATTCTGAATCTGATGTGAGACTCTCCTGGTTTGTCTCAGCCAGCAGCTCAGTTGAAAACAAGAATTTGCCAGATATTAAGATACGTGGCAAACTAAACTAAACACAGAGCTTTTATTTTGGTAGCAATTCACTATTAGCTGAGCTCAGCGCTGTGCTTGTGTAAAACATAGAGGAGGTGGATGAGAGAAAGCGGACAGAGCAGATATCACTTCTCCACAGGTTTACATGGTTTTACTTGTTGAACAGTGCATTGATAAAGTGTTGGCTTTTTACTAGCAACACTTTTATTGCACTGACTGATGAGCGTAGTTGTCGTCAAGTGTTTCCACACAGAGGTGGTTTTGGTTTGAGGGAGGAGACCATCTCAGGTCAGCCTGTTAATGACCGCTCGGTCAGTCAGTCACTCATGTAGCTGCGTCTTTTTGAAGCTGTGATGCCGGGAACCAGATTTTCACTCATGTCACAAAAACCTCTGTGCCACATGTAAGTTAGCACAATATGCTGAAGGATTTTGTCATCTTGTGCCTAAACTACTGCAACTCACTCCTGTCTGCCTGCATGTGCCATCTGACCTCTGCAGCTCATCCAGAATGCAGCAGCTCAGCTGGTCTTCAACCTACTGAAGCTCTCCCACACTACACTGCTCCTCCACACCCTGCACTGGCTACTGGTGGCTGATCCAATCTATTTTCTAGTCACTGGTTCATGCCTACTGTGCTGCCAATGGTTCAGACTCATCCTACATCCAGGACAAGTAGCAGTTGAAGATGTTCAGCTTATTTGATGAAGTTGATGAAGTTACATGATACATGCAGTTTTTGTGTTGTATCCACATGGTTGAATGAACTTATTGTTAGTCTCTAAATAAACTTAATTTAATGAAATGTAGCAGATTAGATTTTTAAGATGTACAGTCTTACTTTGTACAGTGCTGGTCTGACTGTCTGTCTGCAGTCCAGCTCTTGTTCTGGATCTTTCTCCACACTGGGGACAGGAGGAGTCTCCTGATGAAGCAGACTGGTCCCAGTATGAGGTGATGCAGTGTCCACAGCTGGTAGAGACTGGATCCTTCAGGACGTCCTGACACAAAACACAGCAGGACAGCTGCTCCTCCACAGAAACATGACTCCTCTTCCTCTCTCTGTGAAGACATTTCTTTATTACTAAAATGATTTGTTGATTGTTGATGAATACTGAGATTTGTCCAACACTGTCTGGAAGCTCAGATGGTCACAGAGAACATTAAAAGTGTTGTTAACTTTTCTGTTTGAATTCAGCATTCAGTCTGTAATGAAAATGATTCCTTTTATTTCAACTCTCCTGCTTTCATAAACACTGAGTGCTTTTCCTATCTGTCTGTCTTATTAAACATTTATTGATCTGCCTGTAGTTTGTTATTAATACAAACTCGACACTTCCTGCAGCTGCTTCACAATAAAAGCCTTCCATTAAAGAGAGCTGATTATGTCCTTCACTGTTCTACAGTCACTTTGGGCAGATTAGCTTGTGTTAGTTTAAACTGAGGTTAGAAGTGCTCTAAATAATTATGATAGACCAGCAGTTTACTGTAAGACACATAGCACGAAACAGTGGTGTCACAGGTTCAACTACAAACTGTTTATTTGTTTGTTTTTCATTCCTTTTATGTTTCCTGTCACTCTATATTGTCAACTATAAAAAGAACTCTCCAAATCTACATTTGACATTTTCTGTCCCTGTTTTTAAATCTGCAGATAACTTTTACATAAATAAATGGATGTTTGTTTCTTCATCTTTAGAAACAATATATTTAATTACACATTAGAAACAGATTCTTTCAGATAATAGTTACAAATATTTACAGTGACTTCAACATCAGAGCAAAAATATATGAATATTATTATATTATATATGAAATATAAATTCTGAAACAGAAGTTCTCAAGTGTTTTGTTAAAGAAATAAAATAAGATACATTTTAGTTTGAAACAGTGTCTGCACTAATAGTTCTGCATCATGAAAATAAATCTATTTTGTCTTCATGCTCAATGAATCATCTTCCATCAGGTCAGTTTACAGTAAAAACAGTTTCTTACTTTGTGTCTGAGGGTCCAGGTTCATTACTGAAGTCTGGAGGATCATGTATGGACAGATCACTCTTCATAGACAGACAGCTGGACACTGGAGACTCCGCTCTGTCCTCCTCTTCCTCCACACAAACACTCATCTTCTGCACTTCAGTCAGTCTAAAAAGTAAAACATTAACAGACTGAGCTCAGAGCACAATAATAAGGAAACACACACGTACACACAAACACACACACACACACACACACACACACACACACACACTCTGTATAGTATATAGAGTATACAGTATAATATAGAGCTCCACCTGGTCACTTTTCTTTAACCCTGTACTTGTTTTCTTGGGTTACAGTAGCTTTAATCTGTATTATTCAGTCAATCACAACTTTGTATCCACAGATGAATCAAACTGTTGAGTTCATTCTAACATTTCTGTCCTCTACAGTCCACAGGAAGAAAACTGACTCAGAAACTTTGACAGTAAAATAATAATAATGTTGTATTAACACTCACCCTGCCTCAGCCTTCAGTTTCCCTCCTTCTGCTCTGTCGACTCAAAATGGAGACTGAACCAACTGAACACTTTCACTTTCACCTGGTGTTATGTGAGCTACCTGGTCAGCTCCTCCCCTCTCTATGTAGAGGAACATAAGATAATTCCTTTATTTATCCCCCTAAGGAGAAATTCAGGTTGACACAGCAGCAATAGGGCAAAGCAGCGCAAAAACAGAAAACAAAGAATATCACAGTAAAAAAATTGCTAATATTATTAATATTAGAAGATATAAAAACTCTAAATTAAAGTATATACACTATTTGTTGTTCAAGTAGGACATGGAGTCCAAAATATGAGCAGAAAATTAAAACTTGACTAAAACTAAAAAACTAAAACTAAACTAAAATTACTAAACTACTAAAGTGGAAATTAAATATAAATAGTGCAAAAGGTTTGTACGTTGTAGGTAGGAGTTCTAAACCAGTCTTTATCTGCTGGGGTTGGAGGAACTGGGAGCTGTGGCGTTGTGGAGTCTGGTGAGACTCAGGTGAGTTTACACAGATCAACTTGTTCAACATGAGCGTCTCTCTCAGCTTGTAAAGACAATGAAATTGAGTTTTGATCAAAATGTTGGTACTTAAATGTTGTTTAAATAATATAATTAAACTAAAAAATTTAAACTAAATGAACTAAATGTTTTTTTTTAACATTTCCCCATTTGTGGGGGATGATACTCGGGGGCTGATCTATATAAAAATATCCATGCCGTGACAAGAGGGTAGCATAGAGACTTTAAAGATTGGCCAAAATACATGCCAATTTAATTGCAGACAATAACTCAAAAACATGACCTTATTGTGGTACATTAAAGGTCCAATGTGAAGGATTTAGTGGCATCCAGCAGTGTAGTTTCAGACTGCAACTCACTGGCTTCCCCCTCCCTTTCCAAGTGTGAGGGAGAGAGACTACGCCACAGGTTAAAGTTAAAGGTAATGAAAACATGATTGTTATATTCAGGTGATCATACACTAACTAAAACATACCTATGAATATTTTCCATTTCTGCCAACAGAGCCTCCTAAAGGTTACACACTGGACCTTTAATAAAGCATTGAAAAGAAATATCTAAAGGTGACATTAGAAATCCATAAATTGTAATAAGTTTCATTTCATAATCTTCAGAGATTTTTCCAAATACATGTCCACACAGTGTGATACATTAGTGGTTCAAACGGTAAAGGCCTTGCTAATCATACATACGCCCAACTGAACATTTATGGGACATGTGATAACAACTGACCATGACCTGAAGTCAATGTAAAATAAGCAGATGAAAGTAAGTTGACGTTAGTATTATGTGGACCGAGCCCTGTGACAGAGAGAACACATATTGCATAATAAAAAAGAATGTACTCAAATTGACATAAATTATTCACATCTCTTTTTCCATTGAACCTAAGACTATCATTTAATCCACAATGTGGCCATAACAGATCATTAAATCCATTTCTGTTGTTTTAACACAGGTGAACATGCAATACTGTGAATTAATAATTATCATTAACTTTAAATTCAGCTTCTGTCTGTTCCCAAATCAGATAGCTGTATCCATTATATTAAATTATGGACTAATACTCACAAAGTTACCACAACACCTGAACACACCACAAGAAGACCAGCTATAACAAAGTAGGCTGCAGGAAATACTGTTCATGTGTACTAATAAACCATTTCTGTGATAGAACAGTAAATATGTGTGTGCAGGCAGCCTTTCACACTGTTGTTCAATCAAACCTCAACATTACTGGGCAGCTGGTGGAGCTACAATCAAGAGAAGATGGCCGCACACTGAACTCCACTGATTTTATTACCAACGTTTGGACCACACTCGGTCCTCGCCTTGACAAAGTTTAGTGTTCGCTCATCTTCTCTTCATTAAGTTAATTGCTATAATGAAGTGTAACATACACAGTTATTTACTCTCTTTATGGGTCTAACATTCAGCCGTTAGTAATACCAGGCGGCGCATGCGAGGAAACCAAAGTTAACGGCAGAGGAACTGCTCTTGTTCTAAAACGTCAGATTGTGACAGACTTTTTAATAGCTGTTAGAAAATATGTGTAGGCAGACCTGAGTGTATATCTGATTATTTGACTGTGTTAACATCCATAAAATAAAGCAGCTTCAAGTGAACTACATCTCAGCGTCCGCCTGTGTTTCTGACTGCAACATTACCATTCACAACTAAGAGTTAATAAAGTAATAAAGTACTGTAATGGAACATTTGTCCTGACCAGAAAGTAATAAAGCAATAAATGTGTTTCTGCATACGCAGCAACAGGTGACTTATTGAAAGGCCTGACCTTCGTTCTCACAGTTCAGAGAGGGGCTGTTAGCTGATACATTTCACTGTGACTGTTAGGTGATAACAAATGTAAGGGAGGAATGCTTCTAATGCTTCTAAAGATGTATAAAACCCAGTGTGGGACTGCCCCACTCCGAGCATTTTCTTTTACATCACAGAACTGTTCCTCTTGCTGCAAGATCAAAAACAACAAAACCTTTAAGGACTAATTGCTTGACTCAAGATCTTTATTTTTTTGTTTTGGTGAGTGTCTTACAGGAAACTCACAGGTACTCTAGTGCTACCCCGGCCACCCCTCTAGGTCCGCCCCCTGGCTGTGTGCTGTCTGAATGCAGATGAGACAGGAAAACTCTTGAAATCCACAGAAGAAATTCAACAAAGAGGCTTCATTTACAGCAATGTGCATGAAATATATCAGTCTGTATAGAAGTTACATCACATGACAAGTACAAGTTAGTTCTTAGTATCAGGATGTGTGAGGTTTCTACAATCTGATACAGAATATTAGCAGATTATACAAATATAAAAAACATCAAGTATACAGAAACATAATCTCACTCTAAAAAGAAAATCACAGAGATAAAGCTCAGGGATGAAATGAAACCAGTCACACCAGCACACAGACATATAAATACATGATTAGTACCGACAAAGAAGGAAGAAGGAAGCTCCTGAAGCTCAGTTTAAATGTCATTCAGTAAACAACACCACCACCTGCTGGCCAAAAGGATACATTACAACCACAATCACTGTTTATTCACTGACACATAAAGTACTATTGAGGGTGAAAGTGGAAATGTTTGTGTGTTTATTAGTGGTCCAAAAGTAGTAGCAGTGGCAGTGGTAGTTGATATCTTCTGTGTACTTATTGTGGAGCCTCTTTCCTAATGTTTATCTGCATATAAATGTTCCTTCAGTAAAAGTACAGAAGTATTTATAAGTATTAAAAGTAGTCACTGTGCAGATGTAAGCAGCAGTTTAATGCTGTAAGTGATTCAGGCGGGTGGAGATCATTTAAATACTTCACATGTTCTTGTGTCGTGTAATCTGTAAAAATGCATCATGTTTTATTTGTTGATCCCATGTGTTGTTTGTAAAATGTGAACCTGCAGAGTAACTAGTAGGATGACAGCTGTCAGGTACATGTAGTGCAGTAAAACGTCCAATACTTCCAATGTAGTGGAGTACAAGTACCTCCACAATGTACTTAATGCAGTACTTGAATGTACTTAGTTACTTTTCACATCTAGATTTACTTAGTCAGCAGATGGTTCAGTTTGGACGAGTAATAGTAATAGTAGTAACAGTAAAAGTAATGATAGTAATAGTAATGATAGTTGTAGTATTTGTAACTACAGAAGTGATGGTTACAGTTACAGTTACAGTCAGTGGTGGAAAGTAACTGAGTACATTCACTCAAGGCCTGTACTTGAGTACAGTTTGAGGTATTTGTACTTTAATATTTAAATGTCATTCTACTTTATACATTTACTGCACTACACTGAAGTCCTGGACTTTTTACTGCAGGACATTTACCTGACAGCTGTTAGACGACGAGTTATTAGCAGATATTTTACATACAAAACATGCACTCTGCTCCACTACATTTCACAGGGAACTACTGTATTCTTTACATTCATCTGACAGCAGCAGCTATCTTATAAAATCCACTGTTACTAATTCAACCAGTAGTTTCCAACATTCTTGTCTTATAAAAATACATCATCTAGTCGGGGCTCTTTGTCAAATATCAGATGTGTGTGAGTCGTTAGCAGTTCTCCTCTGAACCTACGTCTTTTATCTAAATACCAAAACAGTTTGAGGCCCAAACAAGTAAAACACAATATTTCACAAATAAGAAACTGAGCATTTTCTTAATTAACTCAATCAATAAACACATGTGGAATGACACATAACAACGTTGTTTAATATCTTTTGCTCATTACAGAAGAAAAAAACATTTCACTGACAGTTTTATGCAGATGGGGACTCAACTTATTTCTCATTTATTAGTTTAGTTAATTATATTTATTTATCAGGGACCATAAACAAAAACACATTAATCTCATACAAGGAGCAGAGATGCATTTTACCAGATTTGGCTACTAATTAATTTCCATCTGCAGTCCCTGGGCAGGTCCACATAAACACTAATTACGACCATTTTAAAGACAGAAAGTGATGAAAGTTTATCCCCATTCTTACACTTTCATTAGTGTTGTTGCATTCAGCTCATCAGTAAACACACTGTAAACACACTGCTTTCTGTAAATAATGCAACCTGTTACAGAATATGATGGATTCATATGAAATAAGAACATAAACATACAGAATAAAAAAGAACAAGTAAACAGAAATATAATCCAATACTGATGAGAATGAGACTTCTGACATCAACCTCCATGATACAGAATAATGTGAAAAATAACAGCAGTTCTCCATCGTTCAACAGACTTTGACTAACAAGACTTTAAATGAATAAAAAAGTATAAAATTTATTTTTTGGTTAATGGAAGTTATCACTATAATGATGACACATATATGTATGATTCCAGTGAATATACATCACACACGTACTTGATGACTGCGTAAAGATAGATTCTTATAGAGTACAGCTATACAACATGTGGTGCTTTGGTTTTCTCCTGGTAGTTTTAGATGTGAAGCATCTCTACGAGCTGCAGGTGAAACTAGCTCACAGGATCCTGACTAGCTGGACGCACTCCAATACGATGTTGGCAGTAACACGATTCCAAAGACGGCAGGAAGTTAAAGGTCGAATGGATGAGATGGAGAGATAAAAACCTGAACTGTGATAGTTACTGTTCACTCATTGTGTCGGTTCAGTCAGAGTGTGTGTGTGAAATCGGGAAAAGTTTATCTTATGTTTTACTGATTCATTTCATGTCAAAAGAAAAAAAATATTACAGAAGTTATTAAAATGTTCTGTTGTTCAATGTGTGACCAATCTGTTGGGATAAACTAGAAATATAGACTCTTTTAAAAGATAATAAATATATAATTTTGCACTAATAACAATAATTCTTAACTTTGGAGTCAGAATCTTGTTTCAGTTTGGAGACATCAGTGAAGCTTCAATTAAAATAAAAACCTTCGACAGGTTTTATCTTCTAGTTTCTGTGTGTTACAAACAATTATCAGTTATACTGTGAGAAAAGTCTGGAATTGGTGGTAATAACCAGAACTTCATAGAGGAAACTTTAAGCAGGCAAATTCCAAATGAATTAGAAATATAATGTGTAAATTAACTGCAATTCTCCATCAGTCCACGTTTGTTCATCTACAGATCTGTTGTCATAAACAGAATGAATGTGTAGATGCAGTTTGGGTTCAGAATATGTGAATGAATGAAGGAATAAAATCCAGGTGGAGGTTCCAGGTGGAGGAGGTGGTTGAGTGTGGAGCAGAAGGAGTGGAGGAGTCTCAGTGTGTCTGCAGAGACTGTGTAGAAGGACAGAGCAGCAGCAGAGCAGTCCAGATACACTGATGATACTCTGTCACATCCAGAGGAACACACAGGGATGATGGTGGACTTGACATTGTGTCTGACAGTGGAGCTGATCTCAGAGCAGTTCAGACTGCAGCACTGAGAGTCATCTCCACTGGTTGTGATTCCTCTGTCAGTCACTGCTGGATGAAGCTCTCCTCTCCACTCTACCTCCCAGTAACATGGCCCAGTCAGAGCTGATGCTGCTGCTTCAACCTCTCTGGATCATCAGGACACAGCTGATCCTCCAACACAACCTCCTTCCTCACCACTCACACTCTGACTGAGATCACTTCCATCTGATGAGAGAAGAAGACAGACAACAGAAGTCATAAATCAGTGTTTACAGTCTCTGTCTGTCTTTCTGTCCAACTCTGAAGTCTGTCACCATCCTCCTCTCACAGCTTCACTGAGGAAAGCAGCAAATACTGGATCTTTGCTTTGATACTAACTGTGTTTAGTACAATACTGCTGAAACCAGCATGGACTGACTCCAACCCTCTACTGACCTCAGAGTCTTCAGTCTACAGTGTGGACTCTCCACAAGATCAGACAGCAGCTTCACTCCTGAATCCTGCAGATTGTTGTACCTCAGGTCCAGATATCTCAGATGGGAGGGGTTGGACTTCAGAGCTGAGACCAGATAATCACAGCTGATCTCTGACAAACTGCAGCCCCTCAATCTGAATAAAGAATAAAACATGTAAATTTAGAAGACAATGTTCCTGTTTGAAATCATTCAGTGTTTAATAATCTGTTCAGAGCTGAAGAAGGTTTAGAATGTACAAGTTTAGAAAATGTGAACAAAAGACATCTACAATCATTATTTTAGGAATAGTGGAGTCATAAAATCAAAGCATCTTCAGTTTAAACTATTCAGTCAGTATAAACATCATATAGCTTCATAACAATGTTGGAAACAGCAAATACTGAATATATTTGTTATTGTCTGATAGTTGAAATAGATTATTTATTTATTTATTATATTGATAATTTTGTATTATAATGTAAAAAAAGAACAAGCACTGATCAATAACATGCTGCTGATCTCAGTCAGGTCTGTAATTAGAGGATCAATACTATATTGATCCTTCAAACAACTGCATTTGGAAATTGCTTTGAGTGTGTGTGTGTGTGTGTGTGTGTGTGTGTGTGTGTGTGTGTGTGTGTGTGTGTGTGTGTCTGAAGGATCAATATCAATGACCAGACATTATTTATGAAAACACATTGAAATCAACAGAAACCAAAGAAATATTTCTCCTTCAGTAAACTTGATCAGTTTAAAACAAATATTAGTTCAGAGGATCTTCTGTATCCAGATGTGACCATTTACCAACAATTATAAACATTCATTTACTTTAACAACTAACAGTGGACATTTTCTACAGTTTCTTTAACAAACACAAGTCTTTGTGACTGCAGACTAAATTTAGTTCAACAAACATGAAAATATGAACAAAAGCAAATGTATAACTTTATGGATGTAAGTTATGTATGAACATAAATTAGGTTCAGTTGTTAATTAAACATATCAGATCTACAACAGTAACAGAGAGTCAGTGAACTGACCTCAGAGTCTCCAGTCTACAGTGTGGACTCTCCAGAAAACCACACAGCAGCTTCACTCCTGAATCCTGCAGATTGTTTTTATCTAGGTTCAGATCTCTCAGAAGGGAGGGGTTGGACTTCAGAGCTGAGACCAGATAATCACAGCTGATCTCTGACAAACTGCAGTAAATTAATCTGAATAAAGAATACATTCATGTCAACAGAGATCAATAACGTGCTGTCAGTCAGGTCTGTAATAATGATGAAATCAGATGTGTTGTTACTTCCATTTTCTTCTGTTTCTTCTGATTCATAACAACCATGTGTCCTTTTATGAATTATATTAAGACAAATGTTTTCTATAGAATTCCAAAAAGGCCAATATCAAATAAATAAGAATTTATGACAGAAATAATAATTTAAGTAAAAACAAACCTCTTTAAACCAGCAGTTCTGATGTATCTCACACATTTAGACTATCCTCATCACCACTGTCATCTCCATCAACACACACTGACTGTGAGCTTCATCCTCAATCTTCTTTATAACTGGATCAAATGTGCACTGAGCAAAGAGAGCTGCATATTCTCTCTTAATCTTAAATGTAACCAAGTACCTTCCTGTACAAATACAGTGTATTATTTATGCTCCTGCTTACTGGTTGAGTCAGAACACAAAGTCACACACAATACTTCAAACACCTGCATTCAGAAATATGCTTGCTGCTTGTGTGTGTGTTTTGAGTGTGTTTGTGCATGCATATTAGTAGCATATTAACTCTTTATTAGAAATTATTAAGCATGTTTTAATGCCTTATACTGCATGACTATATTCTAACACTACTAAGCCATGAACTGAGACTCTTTCCTCAATAACTTCCTAATTACTGCTTAATGATAGTTAGTAAGGAAGTTGTTGTCCATGAAGCTCAGTATGGGCCTTATAAGGTTGTTGTACCACCACAATAGTCATTCTCCTTTAATAACACTTAAGAAATTTGGTCTATGTTTGAATAACAAAACACAAAACTGTGTTAAGTGTTAATAGTGTCCAAATTTCTCTGTAACTCAGAATATGTTCTTCATTTTAAATTGAGGTCTTGGTCATATTTTATTATGCTTTGCTCAGTGTGGGTCAAAGTCACCAGACTGTGAACTATTACATTTGTATTCAACTTGAATTATAATCTTTTACATATTTTACAACCTTTTACATCAACTCTCTCCTCTGTGTCTCTGTCGCTCTGTGTCTGTGTGTGTGTGTGTGTGTGTGTGTGTGTGTGTGTGTGCAGTGTTTTTACTGGGGATCTGGGGCAGACAAAGATAAATTAGATAGATCAGATATACACTGTACAAGAGCAAAATACATGAACTGACCTCAGAGTCTCCAGTCTACAGTTTTTACTCTCCAGTCCAGCACACAACAGCTTCACTCCTGAATCCTGCAGCTTGTCATTGTAACTCAGGTCCAGATCTCTCAGATGGGAGGGGTTGGACTTAAATGCTGAAGCCACAACTTCACAGTGAGTCTCTGAGAGTCCACATAAGGCAAGTCTGTGATGACAGAATATAAATTTAAGTATAATAAAATCTGACATTTTATTATGAAAATAGACTTTTGTGTATTTTGCATCACAAAGCACATTAACATGAGCGGCTGTAGCTCAGCTGGTCAGTCATTGATCACAAGGTCTGTGGTTTGAAACTTGAGCTCCTCCTGTCCACAAGTGCTGTGATTTGTGTTTGTTAAACTTTATTTTAACATGATGTTCAATGAGCTGTATAATCACTATAGGTTATAACTGCACTCATATGTATTTACCTAAGTCATGTGCTTCTTGTGTGAATTTTGTGCATCTTTTATTCATCTAGGGTTGCAGCTGTATACCAATACCATGTTATACTGTGGTATGAAATCATACTATGTTCATTTGTTTATCTACGGTATTGTATTCTGTTGTATTCGTGTTACTAAAAATATATAGTACATTACATTTTGTGAAATTATAATAAAGCGTTAAAACAAAAAAACTAACAAACAAAAACAACTAATTCTTCTGTTTTTATTACTGTAACTGATCATTGATAACTGTGTAATACTGTATACCTTTAAACTGTGATATTTTATGAGATGGTTATTGTACTGTGAAAATCTCACTAATGCAGCTCCAGATGAATCTCATTAAGTTGCTCCAGCTGCTTTTCACCTCCCATTAAATTAATCTAATGACTCCTATCGCAGTAATAGTATAATATACCTTTTCCACGTGAGCCATTTTGATATGAAACAGGAGGGTAAACACAGGTGTTACCAATGACACTAATTAAGGTTCTGTTACATTCAGGTCAAACACAGTCAGGGTGCTGCTACTGTGCATCATGGCTCACTGGAAAGACTCTGCTACACTAAATGAACCTTCATTAGTAAAGAAGCTCTCTCCTTTTCCCTCTCTCTCTCTCTGGTGGTATTTGAATGGACTCGTCTGTAAACTGGTTTATAAATCAAAATTATTTAGAATGAAAAAACATGTGAAAAGACGTTCTTTGTTAAGAACTAAACAATATAATCTTAACTCTAATACTGATGACTTCAACTTTACATTGATTTATAATGTTAATCACATCTGGACTCACACAGCCTTTCTGCAGTTCCTCACAGCTGGAATCAGTCTCAGTCGTCCCTTCACTGATCCAACTCATCCAGAACCTCCTCTGACATCTGCAGCATGTAGGCCAGAGCTGAGCAGTGGATCAAAGACAGTTTCTTCTCTGATCTGTTCTCTGACTTTAGGAACTCTTGGATCTCCTGATGGACTGAGTGGTCATTCATCTCCATCAGACAGTGGAAGATGTTGATGCTTCTGTCAGGAGAGATATTAGCACTGTTCATTTCCTTCAGGTTGTTGATGGCTCTCTGGATAATTTCTGGACTGTTGTCTGTCTGACCCAGCAGGCCTCCTAAGAGTCTCTGATTGGACTCCAGAGAGAGGCCATGAAGGAAGCGAACAAACAGGTCCAGGTGGCCATTTTTACTTTTGAGGGATTTCTCCATGGCTTTCCTCAGGTAGACATCCAGGGTTGAATTAACATGTTTTTTTCCCAGGAGGTCCTCCAGTACTTTGGTGTTCCTGTTGGTGTAACAGTGGAACATGTAGACTGCAGCCAGAAACTCCTGAATGCTCAGATGAACAAAGCAGTAGACTGTTTTCTGGAAGATCACACTCTCTCTTTTGAAGATCTCTGTACAAACTCCTGAGTACACCGAGGCCTCTGTGACATCAAGACCACACTGCTCCAGGTCTTCTTGGTAGAACATGATGTTTCCTTTCTCCTGCTGTTCAAACGCCAGCCTCCCCAGCTTCAGAAGAACTTCCCTGTCAGCCTCCATCAGCTCCTGTGGGCTCTTCTTATGTCCCTCATCATACTTCTGCTTCTTCCTCTGTGTCTGAACCAGCAGGAAGTGTGAGTACATGTCAGTCAGGGTCTTGGGCAGCTCTCCTCTCTGGTCTGTAGTCAACATGTGGTCCAGAACCGTAGCAGTGATCCAGCAGAAGACTGGGATTAGACACATGATGTGGAGGCTCCTGGAGGTCTTGATGTGTGAGATGATTCTGTTGGACAGATCTTCATCACTGACTCTCCTCCTGAAGTACTCCTCCTTCTGGGCGTCAGTGAAGCCTCGTACTTCTGTTACCCTGTCGACACATTCAGGAGGGATCTGATTGGCTGCTGCAGGTCTGGAAGTTATCCAGACGAGAGCAGAGGGAAGCAGATTCCCCTTGATGAGGTCTGTCAACAGCACGTTGACTGAAGACTTCTGTGTGACGTCAGACACAACCTCATTGTTGTGGAAATCCAGTGAAAGTCTGCTTTCATCCAGGCCGTCAAAGATGAACAAAAGTTTACAGACAGCGAGCTGCTCTGCTGTGACCTTCTGTAATGTTGGATGGAAAACATGGAGCAGTGTGAGAAGACTGTACTGCTCATCTTTGATCAGGTTCAGCTCCCTGAACGAAAGCAGAATCACCAGACTGACATCTTGGTTCTCCAAACCCTCTGCCCAGTCCAGAGTGAACTTCTGCACTGAGAAGGTTTTTCCAACGCCAGCGACGCCGTTCGTCAGAACCACTCTGATGTGTCTCTGTTGGTCAGGTAAGGCTTTAAAAATCTCGTGGCACTTGATTGGAGTGTCATGGAGGGTCTCCATCTTGGAAGCTGTCTCCAGCTGCCTCACCTCATGTTGGGTATTAACCTCTTCACTCTGTCCCTCTGTGATGTAGAGCTCAGTGTAGATCTTGATGAGGAGGGTTCCACTTCCTGTTTCATCAGTTCCTTCAGTCACATGTTTACATCTCATCTTCAGACCGATCTTATGTTCATCTAAAACCTCCTGCAGACCACCACTCACTAAAAAAGAGAAAAAAAGACAAAACAAAGAAAAACTAACAGTCTGTTCTGATGTTTTCTGAATGCATCTCTTTCATTGTGGGTTTGTTTTTGTGTCTGATTGATTTATACTGTGCATTGTTTTTACGTCTGTGTTGTCTTTATCAGTTTGTGTCCAACAATGTTGTCTTATTTAGTCCATTTTACTACCAACACCCAACATTTTATTGTTCTTAAATGTGCTCTTGCATTATGAGCCTCTGTGTTGTATGTTTTTAATAGTACCTGAGGGTGTCCAGAATGATGCTTCTAGAAACATTAATATTTTATTTTGTTTTTCATGATTGTTCTGCATGTTTATAAATTATCTGACTTTGAATAACTTTTACATTTAAAATTGTCTAAGGACTACAAATGAAAATTTTTTGGCCAACTCACATTTGACACTAATGTTTTATCAATGTGCTCTGTCCCTGCTGAATAAACCAACAAATAAAGAAATAAATAAAAACAATCTGCTGATTATTATCATTAGAGATAAAACGATTAATATAAGAATAAATAGAGATGTTAAGCTTCTAAAATCCAATTTTGGAGAAACATCAGAAATGCTTTTTTCTGTCAGCCTCTGACTGTGTGTCAGTGTAAGTGTTTAATTGACAGGCTGAGCCTCAGCAGCTCTTCTAATGCAACTCACTCCTGTCTGCCTGCATGTGCCATGATCGAGTCAGATTTAAGTTGAGTCTCTACGAGGGGGTCCAGCAACCGATCAATTATTTTGTTGTATCCACATGGTTGAATGAACGTATTGTAAGTCTCTAAATAAACTTAATGTAATGAAATGTAGCAGATTTCATTTTTAAGATGTACAGTCTTACTTTGTATAGTGTTGGTCTGACTGGCTGTCTGCAGTCCAGCTCTTGTTCTGGATCTTTTTCCACACTGGGGACAGGAGGAGTCTCCTGATGAAGCAGACTGGTCCCAGTATGAGGTGATGCACTGTCTGCAGAACCAGTGTCCACAGCTGGTAGAGACTGGATCCTTCAGGACGTCCTGACACAAAACACAGCAGGACAGCTGCTCCTCCACAGAAACATGACTCCTCTTCCTCTCTCTGTGAAGACATTTCTTTATTACTAAAATGATTTGTTGATTGTTGATGAAAAATACTGAGATTTGTCCGACACTGTCTGGAAGCTCAGATGGTCACAGAGAACATTAAAAGTGTTGTTAACTTTTCTGTTTGAATTCAGCATTCAGTCTGTAATGAAAATGATTCCTTTTATTTCAACTCTCCTGCTTTCATAAACACTGAGTGCTTTTCCTATCTGTCTGTCTTATTAAACATTTATTGATCTGCCAGTAGTTTGTTATAAATACAAACTCAACACTTCCTGCAGCTGCTTCACAATAAAAGCCTTCCATTAAAGAGAGCTGATCATGTCCTTCACTGTTCTACAGTCACTTTGGGCAGATTAGCTTGTGTTAGTTTAAACTGAGGTTAGAAGTGCTCTTAGATCAGCAGTTTACTGTAAGACACATAGCACGTAACAGTGATGTCACAGGTTCAACTACAAACTGTTTCTTTGTTTGTTTTTAAATTTCTTTTATGTTTCTTGTCACTCTATATTGTCAACTATCAAATGAAGGAATATATCCAGTTCAAATATTCTTAAAAAGAAGTCTCCAAATCTACATTTGACATTTTCTGTCCCTGTTTTTAAATCTGCAGATAACTTTTACATAAATAAATGGATGTTTGTTTCTTCATCTTTAGAAACAATATATTTAATTACACATTAGTAACAGATTCTTTTAGATAATAGTTACAAATATTTACAGCTACGTCAACATCAGAGCAAAAATATATGAATATTATTATATCATATATGAAATATAAACTCTGAAATGGAGGTTCTCAAGTGTTTTGTTAAATAAATAAAATAAGATACATTTTAGTTTGAAACAGTGTCTGCACTAATAGTTCTGCATCATGAAAATAAATCTATTTGGTCTTCATGCTCAATGAATCATCTTCCATCAGGTCAGTTTACAGTAAAAACTGTTTCTTACTTTGTGTCTGAGGGTCCAGGTTCATTACTGAAGTCTGGATCCCAAACTTTGGACCGCTCACTCTTCATAGACAGACAGCTGGACACTGGAGACTCTGCTCTCTGTCTGTTGTACTGAACTCTACAAACAACAAGATGGTTTTATTCACATGAATCCTTTGTCCTTTAATCTTTCCCATTTAGGAAGCTGTAAATAAACAAACTGCTGCTACTGTTGATAAGTAGGAGGTAAAAGTTTGTATTAGTCCTCTTACATTAGATTGACTGACAGCTACAGATACTATTTCTCTTTTTTAGTGTCACAAAAAGTTTTTGTTAACAAATACAGTTTGGTAGAAAATGTAATATGCAAACATTAAATCAACAGAGAACATACAGGTAACTGAATATAAGTGAAATTAATGAGTTAGTGTCAGTTCTCTTACTTTGTGTCTGAGGGTCCAGGTTCATTACTGAAGTTCAGAGGAGGATTATTGGAACGATCACTCTTCATAGACAGACAGCAGGACGCTGAAGACTCTGCTCTGTCCTCCTCTTCCTCCACACAAACACTCATCTTCTGCACTTCAGTCAGTCTGAGAGATAAAATAATAATACTGACTCAAAACAGAAGACTCAAGAAAAAAGGTTTGATAAAGAGGCACACACAAGATTGAGAGAAAAAGAAGTAACACACACACACACACACACACACACACACACACACACACACACACACACACACACACAGTACTCTGTATAGTATATAGAGTATACAGTATAATATAGAACTCCACCTGGTCACTTTCTTTAACCCTGTACTTGTTTTCTTGGGTTACAGTAGCTTTAATCTGTATTATTCAGTCAATCACAACTTTGTATCCACAGATGAATCAAACTGTTGAGTTCATTCTAACATTTCTGTCCTCTACAGTCCACAGGAAGAAAACTGACTCAGAGACTTTGACAGTAAAATAATAATAATGTTGTATTAACACTCACCCTGCCTCAGCCTTCAGTTTCCCTCCTTCTGCTCTGTCGACTCAAAATGGAGACTGAACCAGCTGAACACTTTCACTTTCAGGGTTTCCTCCCTGGTGTTATGTAAGCTACCTGGTCAGCTCCTCCCCTCTCTATTTACAGGAACTCAGGTGAGTTTATCTGTGTTTGTGTGTGTGTGTGTGTGTGTGTGTGTGTGTGTGTGTGTGTGTGTGTGTGCTGTGTGTGTGTGTGTGTGTGTGTGCGTGTGTGTGTGTGTGTGTGTGTGTGTGTGTGTGTGTGTGTGTGTGCGTGTGTGCGTGTGTGTGTGTGGTGCTCACACAGATCAGCTGTTTAACATGATGAACGTCTCCTGGGTTTGACAGATGTAATTAAAATAAGTAGTTTGATATGTTTTAATAGTAAAAAAAACTGTAAGACTCATTCACAATGAATATACGTATATATAAAGTTATACAACACATTACAATCTAACAGCACCACTAACTCAACCTCTAAAATAAAGTTTAATCAACCTCTGTAAAACACTTTCACTTTGTATATGCTTCATTATACTGAAGCAGGTAAGAAGAAATATATAACCAAACGTTAGTTCTCCAGATGCTGACAATATCACAGCCACAATGTAAAATAATAACAAAGCAGGAATTTAAGTGAAAACCATGGTTGTCCAGTGTATAATTAATTAAGTTCATGGTAAAGACAGTTACCTTAGCTGGCTTAATGCCGGCTAACAGCAACAACTGCTAGTTAAGATCAGACACAAGCATTAGCAATTAGTTTGACATCTTTAAAAACTCCTTCAGGGGAAATATGAGGAGATAATAAAATGTCAAAGCTTCCTGTTTCACAGCTGAACTTGATATTAATGTTGATGATATTAAAAAATCCCCCACTTAGACCTGACATTAAAACTGTTGTATTAACCCTCTACTGCATTAATTATTACTTAAACATGATGGAAATGTTTTAATGCGTTTCTATTACTTAAAATGGTTTAAATAATGGAAATATTTGATATATTTATTTAAATGTTTTTTTGCTAAAATCACCATACATACATGTTACCATTTTACAAAAAGCCAACCACATCTAAACTGATTTTTACTGATGAATCAGAATCAGAAATACTTTATTGATTCCAGGGGGAAATGACTTTCGTTGCAACTCCAAATCTACATACAATATATACATACAACATATCCTATATTAAGAACATATATACATATATATATAAATATATCTATATACACAAGGTAAAATGTACAGTTTTGAAAAAGTGCAAAACGTGCAGAAATGGTTGTCCGTGTTTGAGGTCAGATTACAGAGAGGGGGTGTCTGACTCTCTGAGGGAGGCATTATAGAGTTTGATGACCACAGACAGGAATGATTTCCTGTGGCGCTCTGTGGTGCATCTGGGTGAGAGGAGTCTTCTGCTGAAGGTGCTCCTCTGCTGAGGCCAGTGTGTCGTAGAGAGGGTGTGAGACATTGTTCAAGATGGACTGAAGCCTGGACAGCATCCTTCTCTCTGCCACGGCCGTCAGGGTGTCCAGTTCCTCCCCCACAACATCACCGGCCCTCCTGATCAGTTTGTTCAGTCTGTTGGTGTCTGCAACCTTCAGCCCACTGCCCCAGCATGTGACAGCGAAGAAGATCGCACTGGCCACAACAGACTCATAGAACATCCTCAGCATCGTCCGGCAGATGTTAAAGAACCTCAGCCTCCTTAGGAAAAAGAGTCGGCTTTGGCCCTTTTTGGCGCCTCGGTGGTCG